CTCTCTTTCTCCGTCTTTTCCTTTTTCTTCAGAAAAAGATTTATTTTTAGATTAAAGATTTTTCTATCAGTACCGCTAGTATGCCGGGAAAATTTTCTCGTTTATAACGTTGCGATATATGGAGCCTCCCGCGGGAAGCCAACCGCTGCAACCGCATCCAGTTAACCAACTACCACACTATCATGAAACGTTAAACGGCAAGTGCATCTCGCGTGAGCAACGAGCTTTTTCACACGAGAAATCTGGGAGTCTTTCAATAACGTCGGAAATTCGAGCGGGCTTCGTCTAGCAGGGATTCGCCCATGAAAACGTGCCACGTCGTCGTCGTCGTCGTCGTCGTCGTCGTCGTGGATTCGGACCGCCGTGCTAAGATCGAAGGAAAAAGAGGACGAAAACAAAAGCTCGGGCCGTCTACGTGCGAACCGGCGTCGAACGAAACGTGATCGAGGCCTCACTTTCGAAGTCGGTGTCTGCAACCAACGGTCACTTGCTTTCCTAACGATCAACCCATGTGCTCTTGCGACGCTCGCACCGTGTCGTCTTTATCGGCCTGGCTATCCGTATTTAACGTTGTATCTAATTGCATTACTTTTTACAGTGATAAAGAGGATTATTCATACTCGGAAGCGATTTCCTAAAATAGCTCGCATCGTTTAATTAATACGGTAAAATTTATTTGTGGTAAAAAAAACTCACGATGGATTTCGAAATATGAACTGCGAAAGCTGTTCCTGAAGGAGATAATGTAAATGTTAATGTAAATATTAATACAAAACTGTGACTTTACATTTCTATTTCACGTCTCGCATTTACCTGCAATCTCTATTTCCGGAGGTAGATCCGACCGGGAAATATCGGAGAAGTTTCGGAGCTCCGCGGTACGTACGAGGGAAGTACGAGAGTCGAATACGCGCGCCTCGAAAATGTCAAACATCATTCCGCGTTGGGAGTTGCGGAGTAGTACGATATCGCAGGACTTTAACGCAAGGGCGGTAATTGTTGCGAACTCGATATCTTGCTTGCCAGAGGCTCGATAACCAAGCTATGTTAGCATCTCCGCAACAAACTCCCCAGCTTACACCAGCAATTAATTTGTTCTATATGAAAAGCAGAACTGAGCCGTCAAACTAGTACATGCTCCAACATACGCAGGCAATTATCGTTATTCTCTCTCCGTGCGCTTCTTTTTGCATCGGATGAAATTGTAGCCCGCAATTTGTGGTCTGCAATTAAACAGAACCAATTAAGAGTCGGTTCTATCATCTCGCTTAATTTAAATAGGACCGACTTAATGATCATTCTTCTCCCCTCCCTCCTCCCCCTCCCTTCTTTTATAGTAATCTTACATGTGACATGTCCAATTTAGTATTTATTAATATATTTCTTAGAATTAATGCGGTAACGAGGATAAGTAAATTGATTGATATTTGTTAATGCGCTCGACATTGGACGCATCGGATGAGACCAGATCTCATCGATTTCACGAGAATTTATACCTCGAAGCTGGAAATGCACGGGGTGATTAAGAATAGGAAATATGAGCCGCAGACACAGATGGTGATTAATGACGTATCGCGTACACGCTACACGTCTGTCCGCTTTCTAAGCCATCGTTACGAATACTGATCTCGGAGCATCGTCCGCCAGAAGAATGGCGGAGATTTGCGATACGCTTCGTATACGAGTATAGAATCGTATCGGTAACCGGAAATGGATACCCACAGCTCGTACAAGCCGTACCGATGCGCGTATGAATTTTACTTTCATACGCACCGTCGTTCCGCGCGCGGAGGAAATGAAATCAGGGGAGCGAGACCCACGACAAGAATCAAGTTTTACGAGCCTTTATTCCATTAGGCAAATTCAGCTTTTAATGGGAGTTAATAAATCGCTGTTTATCTAGAGCCACGGGGCAGATTTCCCGCGGGCGAAAGACACGCGTGTGGATCTATCTATTTAATTTAACGTGGCCTTAAAAAAAAAGGCACTTTAACACCGATATTCTATTAAGATAACGACATTTTACATACGTTTGTACAAGCGAGATACCGCGGTTTATCGTTGTAAAACGCGAAGTACATATATAATTGACAAGAGGTTTATTACAGTAAAACCACTCGGTGATAAACGACTCGGGAGGGGAGGGGGGGGGGGACAAGCGAAAACGTATATTTCGTTTGCCTCTAGTCTCGCCGCGAAGATGAAATATTACGCGCACGTTTTCTTCATTCCCAGACACAATATCTCGTTTCGTTTTCGGCCCCCGCTGAGGAACATATCTTGAGAATTCGGTCCGGGATTATCGTGGCGGCGGGGCACAAAAGTAATCCTCCCGTTTTCCCGCGTGTTTTCGACGCGTGGCACTGATCGACTAATGGAGCAGAAATGATCGAGCATCCGATCTATATTCCGTCGCGCTCGAAACTTCGCTTTCGAAACAGACGATCTCCCTTAACACGCGAGTCACGCGTTGCGAAATCTCTCCAAGTCTCGCCGATTTATTTTGCCAAGGGTAATTCGTATTCTTCGCAACGTCCCTCTTTACTCCCGTGAAATCGAAATAGTGATGCTGCTCGCTGCACGACGCAAATCGATCTTTAACCCTCTCTCTACGGTCAACCCCCGTATATAACTCTCCTGTCACTTCGTATAAACTTTCACTATATCGTTAGGCGAAACTGGTGCAAGGGAAAGCCGGGGCAACAGTATCTCTTCCTCATTTGCTCTGTTTTATTTTTAATAAAATATCCTATTTGAGAAAAAGAAGAAAGAAGAGAGAGAAAGAGACAGAAACTGCATTCTCCATTTCCAGTATGTAAAAAAACTTTTCACATATCCGGACTTGGGACTACAAATTATTTCTATCCTACATCAAAACTGCGATGTTAAATATTGAATCGAGCTATATAAAAAAAATCAGAATATAAAATAAAAGAAAGATAAAATTTCTCCTTTTTTAAAATAAAAAGAATCCCCCTTATCATGAGTGAAAGATTTTAGAAATTCAATTAATAAAAAAAAAAATTTAATATTAATTATCTCTGTAACGTCTTCTTCTCTTATCTACGTCGATAAGAGCCAGCCTGATATTTCCAAACATTTCCAGAATTAATAAGCGTAATAAGCGGACACGGATTCCGCGATGGATATTCATTCGCATCCGTACAAAGGACTCGACGGACTCGAATACGGACACGACTATCGATTTGCGCCGGACGTACCGTATCTGTATTGGCACGGAATCCTGCTGAAGGAGACGCGTGCAAGGGGGCGACGTAATGAGCAAAACCGGTTTTTCGATTTTACAGGTGGGCGAACCGATACGTCGCGCTACGAGCGCACGACGAAAATCTAAAACACTTCTCCGCCAGGCATTCCTTCGCCTTCGTAAAGTAGGCCGTACCGGAAGAAACGAAAGTACGAAAGCGATTTCCGCATTAGTCGCCGGCTGATTATCGTTGCGTGAAATCTCCGATGGCATTAGTGCGCGGAGCTTTCGCGGAACAATTTGATCTAAATAATCCGGAGCGATGAGTGCCGAGTGCAAAAGTGGCGTGCTAATATAAAACACGTATCAACGCACACCGTATCGCGTATCGTTCGTTTGTTTAGTAAATGGAGATAAAAGAACTATTATTTAATAAAACAGTCATCCTTTGACCTAATTTCGAATGCAAGTCTTCTCTCTATATACGCGCATGGAAATAACAATCCAACTGAAAATCAATAGTCAGCTGCGGATAAACTCAATTACAGCGTCGCATGATGATTTAACGATTGCCAGACAGACGCTTTTTGAGCTCTGACACAGCTACAAATTATCATACGTGAGAGAGATGTTAAGCGTGTAAAGCGAGAAAGAGAGGAGTTGTTATTAGCTCTTTCGGCTCTCATCAATAGCTCTTAAAATCGTCGACCACACCTCCGTTAGATTCTTCAACCCGATCGCTGCACTTTCTCCGGTCATTTATTTTCCGAAAACGTACGTCGTCGACATACTTTCAACGACTCTGCCGATTCTGCAACAATAGAATCGAAAAGTAACGTGTGTAAAAGTATTGCGAAATGCCAGCGAAATTCGTCGTTCGTCGACGAGAACAATTATTTATTCGCATATAATTTTTGCCATTATCAGAAATACTCATTTCTAAAGCTATCAAATTTGTTAAAATTTGCATAATTATTCAAAACATTACTGATATATTTACAACGTTTTTTAATTAATTTGAATTTAGTATTACGTAATGAAAATTTAATTGGATATTATATTTCTATAATTCTCTCGTTTTTAGCATCTTTCATTCAATATTTAGTCTATTTATTTAAGTAAAAGCTTTTTATAATTTTAATTTTTATCACAAGAAAAATTATTCATTAAATGTAAAATAAGAATTTCATCATTTTTAGCACGAAATTCGCGAAAAGAGGAGTTTCTATTTTCAATTATAGGAATTATCGATGTTCAGATTTTTTTTTTTTCAGATAAAATAGACTCAAACGTTAAAAAAACAGCCTGCAGAATTTAAATAATGGTCGGAATATTTATTCAATCATTTATACCGCAAGTTATATATGACAGGTATATATCGCTGACAATTCTGCACAATGTAGACAAAACGGGGGCGCTCCTAAGTAAGATAATCGATTAGTCAATTCCCGCAGCTCCATTTAGGTTAATTAATTCCGCTCGTCGTTTGAATACACCACCTATCACTTATAAATAGTCCCGCTTCATGATCAGTCTTCTCGTCAAGTTCCGTACGAATGTAATTTCGTAATCAGCAAATAAGATTGGTGGATAACGGTTAATTGAGGATCAGCTAATTTACCGGATCTCGATCTACGCGTGAACGTTAGACGTAACAAACACAGCCGAGCGCGATCCAGTATATCGGACCAGGTCGTGAAATGGTGTATTAATTCGTTAGCTTTTCGCCGATCGATCTCGACAGACTCGAGAGACTCCGAGAAAATACATACCGGAGACGAGCGAGATGTTGCTATAGAAAGCGCGCACGATAAATCTGACGTAAAGCCGCGCGAAACGTGCTTTATTGCGGTACTAAAAACCCTGACGAGACTACCTCTCTCCTGATGTGCACCCTTTATGTTTAATGAAACCACGAATTGCACGTAGGAAACGTCTGTACTTAGTTTAAATCGCGGAAATTCACGACTCGTTTTCGCGGATCTATTAGAGACGCTATTACCGCTGAAACTCCAATCTCTTTAATCCGCGTTTCCTTTTGCAGCGACACGTGACTTCGCGTGAAATGAAAATTAATCGCGTTTGATAAATTATTTCAAGCAATGGAAAGCGACACGACGCGTCGCTGATGGATTATACAAGGTGTTTCAAGAAACGCAGATCAATCGCTCGGAAGATGATTGGGGATTCGAATACAAGAAAAAAGTTAATGTGAATATAGAGATCCGGAAATGCGCTGTTTTTCGAACTATCGCCATTTTTGCCACATTGAAATTGGAAATTGCTTTGCTTTCGAATTTTTTTGTCAAAATTGAAAAAAGAGATAGGTTTTTCTTTCGAATAGCGATAATTCGAAAACAACGCATTTTAGACTCATGTTCATATCAATATTTTCTTGTCTTTGAGTCCTCATTTATCCTCTTTAGTGATTGACCTCGACTTATGGAACGCCATGTATATCAAGTATACAATTTCAGAGCGATATAAAAATAGAAATGCACGCCAACGCATATACATATGGCGAATACATCTATGCCTGTAATATAATTTGCTGTGCCTGAAACATATGCAAACAAAAGACCATCAATTGTATACACTGGCCAAGGAAACTTTATTAACGTCAGACTACGTGATATGGTATTGTTCGCGGGTTATATAAGGACGCTGCACTCAATTACGAGAGTGCATCGTTAGGTCGACGTACTTCGCAGGAAATGTCTGAAGCGATCGGTTCACTTCGGACATTTTGTAATTGCGTGAAACGAAACGTCGGCAACTTTTGCGTAGGACATTTATTGAAATCCACGTCTCACAATTAGATTTCCCTTCAGAGGCGACTGTCGCATACATATCTTCGAAAATAAATATTATTCGTAAACGATATCGCGAAAAATACGTATAATTATATCTATTTCTCTTCATTTAAGACTTAAATGCAGTCTCGAGGAGTAGAGATTCCTGAGTATATGTACAATCTAGAGGAAATATTAAAAGAGATTTCTCGCAATAATTAAAGATTGCCACTATCTTTGACACACACATACATATATACATATATAACATGATCAATAAAATATAAATAGTTGCGTCTCTTTTTTATAATTCTTGCACATCATCAAATTATTTAAATGCATTGTACAAGCTGCTTTTCAAATCCTGAGTACCTTAATAAAATGATTAATAAAATAAAGTAATATGTATATATAGCATATATTGTATGTTGTTTCCGTTTTAATTGTCTTTTCAAATATTTATAATCGATAAATATTAACCGAAACACTAGGCCTAAACTTAATGTTAACTTTTTATATCACATCTGCATGGCGCTTTAGTATATATATATATATATGCCAACTCTCTAATTGAATGAATATGATATTTGAAATTAACTTATGTAAATTTAACTATTTTCACAGGGGATATTTTAGTGTATGCCGCAATAATTGAGACAAAAAGCTAATTTACAATGATCAATTTAGACTTGCTTTTGTCACCGAAAATTATTCGTATTGCGTACATATAGTCGAGCGGCAATTTGTAGTAATGATCGTGTGTCATATTTATAAGAATTGACAAGAAGAGGTATTCCAACGTTATAAATTGATATCGAGTCCTTTAAGTATTCACATAAAATAAGTACAATGTACCTTGATATTCTCAGTATTCACAAAATTTATAATTATTTATTAAGAAAAAAATAAAATTAGAAGTTAATTTGTGCTAATCTGTGCGTATACTGAATAAATGATAATCATCTTTCTGAGATAAAATCCCTTCAAATTATTTTAAGATTCACTCAAGTAATTCTAAATTTAATATATAGAAAAAAATAGAAAAACAAATTAGTAAAAGCTGCGTTACAGAAATAATCGATGTATTAAAAAAAATACCAAAAATCTGCGTTAAGACGGTTTGGTCCCCAAATATGGACCCTATCTCACTGATGAATAGGATTCAAACACATTTAAATATACAATCTGCAGATACCTGTTTGAATTTTATCTAATGATAAAAGAAAATCGATCTATTTTTGTGCCAAGAACATTGCTGTATTATAAAGTAGATGCCTCCTGGTCCGGGATATTACTCAACTCTTGCTTCCAAGAATATAAAGGTGGTCCATAAGTAAAACAATATTTTTGTTCAAGAGGAGCATCATTTTCCACATAGTACATGATATAAAAGTTACACATTTCGTCTTCATTTGTTCCACCTATATATGTCTTCCTATCGCGTGTACTTTTCATCGTACAACGGGCCGCCAATCTATCGCCATATGTAATTGTAACATTATGAGTAATGGGATAAAACATTTGAGGAGTCAATGGATCTCTCTTGCCGAGTTCGATCCATTCATTATTCGGCTTCACTACATAACCGGAGACAACTTTTCCGAGCGAGTGCGTATGTGTTCTATATGCGAACGGATAGATAATCTTATTCTCTTTTATGCGACAAGACGATTCCATATGTACTATTTTCCTAGGCGGTATGACACCACCCGTTCCTAATAGAATAACACCAGCCAATTTGTTCATTGGTCGTTTTGTAAAATGCAAAAATACACCTGAATCATCTGTACTGCCATCCTTGAAGCGATCAATGTGTGCATAATGTACTTGCAGCACGATATATTGTATGGGAGAATCACCGCCTACTTTAAAGCCTACTCCCTCTGGTAGATCTAACTCGGGAGCATCCCTTGCCCATGCATAGATGATCTACATAAATAAGATTTTGTTTTCCAATTCAAAAATATATTTAAAAAGTATTTTTTTCATGATGTTAATGTCTATTACCTGAGTTCCTTCCTTGCAAGCAGGGAAAGTGTCTACTGTTCTTTCAGCAGTCGCCATTTCTCCACAGTTCCAGACTGGCTTCGAACTACCCGGCTCAGTGCAACCATAAATGAGCATATGATGGGCCGTTGCCATCGTTGCATTTGGCTCAAAACCAATAATGTAATAATTCCTTGCAAAGTCTACTCTAACTGGGGTGCATAAATATAACTCGGGCTGTAAACAAAATTTTATTCTATAAAAATTGCATATAAATTTTTTGAGAAAATTAAGGAAATTATCATTACTCACATTCTCACTACTATATAATAATATAATAATAATTTAATAATATATTATAATATAATAATATATTAAGAATAATATATTAATTATGATCGAAATTGAGTTATAAGCTACATTCGTGATTGCTTGATTTTTTACATCTTAGTTGTTCAGAATAGCCATATGTTATGAAAACGCAACGCTCACGCCTTTGTGCACATGTATACGTTTTGTATATTATGTATTGTTACATGTTGTATGCGTGTATTCGCGCACGTCGTATAGAAAACAAGCTAAAAAAATTATGCTTACCGTGTTCGGCCTCACATTTGGCATAAGCAGCGAATACTTTTCGACGTCGTAACAACACGTGAACTTGAGAAAAATCGCGAAGACGAAGTAACGCATAAACGCACGTTTTTCCCACATTTTCGAGCCACAGTATTTTTCACACGTCCGCTCTTATCAATTCTATGATAAGGTGTCCACCTGTCAAACGCTACAGGTCGGTCGATACGACACCTAACTCGACCTAAGCGATACAGTATGACGTAAATAGGGAATGGTATTTTTGGAATTGTGACCTTTTATGGTGGTAATGACATCTCGCGGGAGCGCGTACACATTTCTTGATGCTGGTAATTCTTATGCATCGGTAATTCTTATTATTATAATTAACAAGCGATCACGCTTGCGATCGACAATTGACTTTTTCTTTCTCTCTCAAAGAAATGTCAACATTTTTAAATTTATTATTTCTAGTAATAATTTTCTCCGTTAAATCGAAGATTTAATAGTTCGAGACAAAAACTGTTCTTTTATATACAAAAGTAAAATGAAATTATAAGCAAAAAATCATAAATAATTACATCCTGCACGATTAATAATATGCTATATTAGCACAATAATTATGTACTAAAGAAAACAGAAAAATCGATATTAAACTATGGAATTCTTTAACCAGTATTTATTTTAAGTATTATAGTAAAGTAATAAGTCTATGCAAAGCGCACTAATTAGTAAACTAATACATATTTCGAAAATTATTAGTAGTCACATCTTAATTACGTTGATCAGCCATCTCTTACGAATATATTTTATATTACATACACATTTCAACATCTCTACGCATTTCTTCTGGACGGAATTGCATTGAGCAGCGACGTTTCTCAATAAAATCTGGCCACGAGATTCTTGCAATTTCATTAAATTTCATAAAAATTGCAAAATTCTCGACTGCACGCTCTTCTGCGCTAATTACATGGAATTAAACATCTCTCAGTGTAAAACGATTCTTGCAATGATGATAATTTTACTTTGGATCTTTACTTTCGCGATGCAGAATCGCATCTCGGAAGAATATCACCAGTGAGAAACACCAATGTAATTATTGTAATTGACATACAAATAACAGCATAAATCACTGCGCATCGATTAGCTCCATTCCATTCGTAACATAATAGACTTCGTCGAGCCAGTCGTATCTCATTGCAATGTACAACGCGCATTTTATCTCTTGTTGATGAATATATCGCGAATTTGATCCGTTAGCCATTCAATCGCCGGTTGCAGGCCTTCGCCTGTTAACGCGTTCGTCGCTCGTATGTGCCAGGGTTTATTTTGTATCCGTTCAAGTCCTAATCCGGCAACTAATTTTACGGTAGTCAGAGAATCGGGCAGGTCCATTTTGTTCGCCAAAAAAAGAATGGGTATTTTGCGACCTGAAATGTTTTCAATCGCACTCTGAGCATCTTATAATCTAGTCTAGAGCTTAGAAAATAACAAACTTTGAAGATTTGAAGATTCTTAAATTCTGTAAAAATATCTTTAATCTTGATTTAATTTATTTTTTATCTTTTTCTAATTTTAAAAGGAGATAAAAAGATAAGTTTAAAATTAGTAAGAGATTAAAATTAATTTACATTAGTAGAAATGAATAAGTAAGTAAATTAAGACTCGCAATTCCGTTCTTTAATTTGGAATTAGGCTCTTCTTATGTTACTTAGAATTTTATTAATCATTGTCATCACCTGCCACGTCGGGATGCTGCAGTAGCATATCGAGTTCTTCTTTGACGACAACCAGTCGCAGTTTATCACTGCTGTCAATTATAAAGATGATCCCATGGCAATCTTTGTAATAATGCTCCCATAACGATCTATGACGATCGTGACCCGACATATCGAATGCGGTGAAACTGACATTCTTAACTGAAACAATAATTTTGACGCAATTATATCAAAATCAAACTAAAAGCAAAATTCTAATGCTTTATATTATTATTTATATCACTTTGTGAATAGTATTCAATTTTTTTCTTTTCATTGTATCTTTCTTTTTTACAGAATAGCTTCAGTTAAACACTTGTTTATTTATCGAATCTCTCGAAAATTAAATCGATCAATGCAATTCTTTAAAAGTGTTTTTAATTTTAATATCAAAACATCATGTAATTTTATAAATTTCGTATATTTTTTACTTTATAGAGTTATATTTTAAAGTATCTATTTTATAGAGGCCAACTTGATTTTTGAGAGGCTCAATTATGACTCGTGAATAAATAGAAAAATAATTAAACATAAATAATTCATGTAAACAAGTTAGTTTCCGTTGTTTCCGTTGTTTCTCGGTATATCTAAAAAATTATTCTAGCCATATTTATTAATTTTAATTATGACTTAATTTACTCTTTACCTTTTTCTAATTCTTAGAACTAAAAATAGATAAAAAGCAAGTTGAATCGGGATTAAAATTAATCTACATCGATAGGAACAAACATAAATTAATTGGGAGTTGACGGAAACTATTCAAATAGCAGGAACCCAACGCCAACGCGCCATCTGAGCGGAGTAATTTCAATACAAAAACAATTGATAGCTAGTACGAGCGATCTTTACGCGTGAATTGCGTAAAGTCGGCTTTGTCATTGTTGCAAACGAATACACTTGACATAACAATCTTTTATCTTCAACGAAAATGAAAAAGCGTAGATCTAAGAACGACGCGAATGACGAGCCGGCAAAAGAAAGTGCGTGAATCTATTGAGGAGAAATCCTAACCTCGCTAAAACGGCAGGAAAATTAACCGATTCGTTTTGGTTTCTAGACACGACAGCCGAGGAAAAGAAGAAGCTGCTACAAGAGATAAAAGAGTTGGAGTCTATTGTCAAGCAGTGCGAGTGGAATCTGCGGACATTGCGCTTTAAGGATGTGGAGGAACGTGCGAAAGAGATACTCCCGCCAAGTCCAGGAGTTTCCTCACAGAGCAGAATGCCGCCGAGTGTCGACGTCGATCTGCAGAACGATATGTACGCATTTGCCGGTTTTCGTTGCGTTAAATTTCAAAAGGACGAAATTGTATTTAATTTCACGTCGACGAATGGAGATCAGAGGAACAACACCTATGCCGTACAAATTTTTATCGAAAATGGAAAGGGCAAATTGGGAAAATGGGTGATGCCGATGTCAGTCGATATGAATGAGTTATTATCCAAAAGGCCTATTGGCGAGTTGAAAAATATAAGTCCTTTTTTAAAGAGTTGTAAGCATCATATTGACTGCTATACTGCACGAAAGGAGCAATTCTTATCATTGGAGGTACAGTTTTATAGGAATAACGATATAGTATAAAATTACTTTCAAACTGTGATATTGACAAATAAATAATGTTTATTTCTTCAGAAACATATTTCGAACACAAAACATTATAATTTGCAATCTGACATGGGATTTAAGCAAATCAGTATGGAAATGTATGGTGTATACGACAATGAAAATGACAATTACATAAACTTGGCAATATATTTGCTGTATTATTCTGACAGAGCAAGACCGCATAAAATTAATATTAATATAACAAACAAAGGCAAGTTAAGCGATGATGTAAAACAAAGATTGAAGGTATTTCTGAAGGAGTTTAAGATATCAGATTTAAAAACTGCATTAGAGAAGATTCTAGCACAAGACAATTCCACATTTACATGGAAACAGATCAATAATGAGTCATTGGATGAAAGTCCATTGGAACTAAATGTATGATATTTAAATATATAAAATATATAAATAATTTTCTATTTATAATTCAAAGGTGTTTAAACTATATAATTTATTTTTAGAATACTAGCAGTTCTGATGAAGGAAACCTCTTGACACAAGTAAAATCAGATCTGAAGGCATCACTAAGAAAACATAAGAAAAAACGTGAATTACAAAAGAAATGGAATAAGAGGAAAAGGCAGAAAAAGATCTCAAAAGATATTGAATCATCAGAAGATGATATAGAAAACGATCATTTGAAAACAAAAGTATCAAATACTGAAAATGCACAGCAAATTCCAGTAAAGGAAACAAAGAACCGTGCATCTATTTTAAAACAAAAGAGAATTAATGAAGATGAAAGTTTGATGGATGAAACGCCATTGCAGAAACGTAAAACTAAACTAAAGCAGACAAAATTAAATTTTCAAATTCATGAGACCACAAATTCTAATATGGATGAAGTATCGTCTGAATCAAAATTGCGCAATATACCTGAAGGAAAGCAACTGAAAAGCAAACCAATTACCAGTACTCCATGTTGCAGTGTCGATATTGAAAAATTACACTTGCCTACTTTGGAGCTTAGTAATATCACATCTACTGATACGTCCCAGAAGATAGAAAAATTAAATAACTCAAAGGACAATAATCAGTTAGAAAATAAGGGAAAAAATTCCGAAAAGAAAAGTGTAAAAACAAAAAATAAAATATTACGAAATAGGAAAACTGTTAAATCATTAAGTTTACGGATGTCAAAGAGAGGAAAACGCCTTACAAGAAGCATAACAAGTTAAAATAATGATGTAAAATGTACAAATATGTATAGAGAAATAACAAAACATATCTTTTAGAAATAAAGTGTATATTTTTTCTGTGCATTTCAATATATACGTACATCATTTTTGAATTTTTTTCTTTTTGTATCTTATAAAATGAAACAGTGCTATGTGATCTTGAGATTATGTAGGTGCAATAGCAGATACGTGAAGATAGCACTGGAAGCAACGGAATCTCACATTTTTTTCGCTTCTCGTTATTTAACTTACATGTGAATTTTTCGACATTAAACCCGACAGTGGGCACTATGTCTATGCAATGGTCATCCTCGCGTTTGAAATCATTTATGACCGTCGACTTACCACTGTTATTAAGACCCACTACTAAAACGTTTACTTCTTTTTTCCTAAGACCTAAGAGATTCGCTAAACGATCGAATAACCCCATTTTCTCTTGACGCCGTAAGTTCCCTCTCACATTTATCGGATATCAATAGTCGTTTCCCTTTCACCCTTATGTGACATCACCAGCAAATTGGAGTAGGAACGAAAGAAACACTCCCTTCCAACTTTTCATTTGCACCAATTGGAAGTTCATGTTAAAATTGCTACAACCGAAGAGAACTAGATTTTGATGGGGATTTTTTTTTTGAGAGCACTGTTGCCAATCTGGGCATCTATCTGTCTGAAGCCACATGTTTTACGTTCTGTATATTTAAAGAAATGGACGCATAAAGTTAAACATACAAATATATTAATTTGTGACGTTTTATTGTATATATTGTTGACTGTTGTACGTACGATTAGTTTGAGTATAACAAATCAAGATGGTAAGTCTTAACGCGCATTTATACTTGTTTTTATAGAACATTAATCTAGGTTAAATTGCTTCATAGAATAACATTATAATTGCAGCCAAAGGGAAAAACGAAAAGATTTATTGACAAGAAGAATTCTGTCACGTTCCATCTGGTTCATCGCTCGCAGAAAGATCCGTTGGTAGCAGATGAAACAGCACCACAAAGAGTTCTGGTGCCAGCAGCGGATACACAAGCAGCGAAAGCAGATAAGAAGATCCTTAGTTGCGAAGACAAGGAAAAACGTAAAGCGGAACAGCAAAAATATGGAATTTACTACGATGACGACTACAATTATTTACAGCATCTCAGAGACGTCAAAACATTGTCAGTGGAATGGGAACGTATCGAGAATACAAATAATTCCAAATGCGACAAGGATACTCCAAAGATTAATCTGCCATCCTCTGTGTTTGCGTCGAACGTTGAGGAGAAAGTTGGTATGCTCAATAAAGCTGCGCCAGTTTCTGGACCGCGATTAGATCTTGACCCAGATGTAGTTGCTGCAATGGATGATGATTTTGATTACGATGATCCTGAAAATCAACTGGAGGACAATTTCATAGAATTGGCTAATGCTGGAAGTAGCGACAATGAGGACAATGAGGATTCTGACAGAGAATATGGTAAATTTGCTGAGCATAAGCAGTAATATTTCCTTGAACTTTACATTTTTCATAATTTTTTATAATTTTAGAATATGAATTAAATGAATCAGGAAATGAATCCGATAGTGAATCCAATGAATCCGATGTATCATATAATGGTCACATGGATTTATCCGATGAGGATGCAGATGAAGTACACAGTTTAAATGGACCCCAATATACCTTCAAAGATGAGGAAACAAAATCGAGGTTTACCGAGTATTCTATGAGTAGTAGCGTGATGAGAAGGAATGAACAACTTACATTGCTAGATAACAAATTCGAGAAGGTTAATACTTTTATTTTTTAAAGTGTTACGACATTATTTACATATGTTTTAATTTATATAGATGTATGCTGCATACGATGAAAATGAAATTGGTGCTTTAGATTGCGATGAAATAGAAGGATATGTCGCACATGATTCGGATCTTATTATGCAATATGCCGCAGAATTTGAAAAGAAGCAAAAGGAAGACGTAAGTATAGAATATTAGAAAAATATGGTGAAAAATGTACATAAAAATGTGTATTTTTTTTCTGTTTGTAGACGGAAAATATCGCAGAGCTTATGAAAGACAGGATGAAGATTATAGAAAAAGAATGCTCGAGTTCAGAAGACGAAGATTTAGAAAAACTTTTTGTTGATCCTCGAGGAAAGGATAGATGGGACTGCGAAAGTATTCTTAGCACATACAGCAACATTTACAATCATCCTAAATTAATTTCTGAACCTCCTAAGGTAACTTATTTATCAATAGATATTAAAAAATTATTACAGAAATATATAAATATAAATGTATTCTACTAATACTAATTAATTTATCTTTTTACTTTTTTTTTGTTTTAATAGCGGTCGAAGAAGATTGAAATTGATAAAAAATCTGGTATTCCAAAAAATGTATTAGGCACTACTGGAAAATTAACAGCTGAAACATTGGCTCAATTTGATTTTGAAAATAACGCACCAAAGGGTCCACAATCCGTAGCAGAAAGTAGAAAATCTACTTTAAGTATTCTAAGTATAAGACCTAAAGGGGAAACTACTGACGAGAAAAGAGAAAGGAAAAAACTACTCAAAGAGTATAGAAAAGTAATTTTATTAAACATTCAGATTAAATTAATAAAATTTTATATATTATGCGTCCGTAATTTGTAACATAAACTTTCATAATTTTTTTTTTATATCTTATATAATTTTTAGGAAAGAAGGATAGAGCGGAAGGCTAATACCGAAGCGTTTAAGGAGGAAAAAAAACGACAAGAGAAGATTCGGTTGAACAACAGGCAAAACATTCAAGGAACTCATATAGTATAAAATTTTCAGTCAAAATAATATACAACTATGACCGTGTCCTTGCAAGAAGATTTAACAATTTCCATTTTAAATATAAAAAGTATGCATCGTTGTACATTAAAGATCAAGTTAAATGTATCTATAAATATTTTAATTAAGGAATCCTAATTTTCTGTACGTTAGAAATATATATGTATGATGTGGAAAACATCTCATATATTTATCTTATATTTATCGTATCTAAATTTCATTCGATCCATCGAATTATCGATATTGGCCGACATGTCACTGTCGACTCGTCAATTGCATCGCAATTTTCAAAAAAATGAGAAACGCGAGGCTTTCTTTATCGCGCGATATTTTAAATTCATGGAAACTTTTGAAGGGAAAATGTCAAAATGTGCTTGCGCGTAATTCTGAAAACTGTTCCTTTCGGTTTTTCGATGAAAAAAAAAGAACCGAACGTATTCTTTTCGCGATGCGGCAGGCGGTGAGCAGAGCCACGTGAGCGAGCACGAGACACCAAGCGCCGTCGTTTAAGGCGGGGCAGAGGACGGAAGCTCCAAAGTCATATGATCGATTCGTGACAGAGCTCGTCGTTCTCCACTCGCAAAGATGGCCAGCCAGACGCAGGGTATCCAGCAGCTTCTGGCTGCCGAGAAACGCGCCGCGGAGAAGGTCTCGGACGCTAGGAAACGTGAGTGTGCTTTCCGGTGCGAATTGCGCCGCGATATTCCCAGGCGGAAAAAAAAAAAAATACATGTCCGCGACACGGTCGGCGCGGCGCTCGATCGCGATCGCGATCTGCAACCTTTCGATTGTGACGTTGATTCTTTTTCCGACACCGCGCTTTATCACGGATGCCTGACAAGTTTCTCGAGGCTGCAGAACGTGTAAAGAACAAGTTTCAATTAGGATATTCCATGACTCTTAAACTTACGACGCTTCACAGTAGGAAAGTCTTAGCTAACCTGCGCGCGACCTGTTTGTGTTTCTACTAATTTTGTATTCGCTAATAATTTTACATAATTTTACACGTAATTTTACACGAAGTCAGTTGAATACTTACAGCTTTATTTAGCTTTGTTTAGCAAAATTTTGATTTCTCTTTAAGCATTTGTTATGTGCAGATGTCCTATCTTAACTATAATAGTATTTAAGTATTAATTTGTACTAATATTGGAATAATATTCGGATGGAATTGAATTCAGAATGTACTTTTTTGTGTACATTTGGATTATTGTATTATAATTTTTTTTTATACTTTTCATAGGCAAGGCACGTCGTCTAAAACAGGCTAAGGAGGAGGCTCAGGATGAGATTGAAAAATATCGACAAGAACGAGAAAAACAGTTCCGTGACTTTGAAGCCAAGGTATCATTTCTCTTTACTTTACATTGAGAATTTCATTATATTTATATCTCTATAGTTAAATTAATTGATGACGTGATGATAATATTACTTGTAGCATATGGGTTCAAAAGAGGATGTAGCTGCACGTATCGAGGCAGATACACGAATCAAGATAGAAGAAATGAATCAGACGGTTGCTGTGCACAAAAACACAGTAAGTTCATTATATAAATTCAACAAATTTGATTAACAATGATTATTTCTGAGAAACTACTTTTTATTCTTTGTAACTTAGGTCATGCTTAAAATCTTGGACTTGGTATATGACATTAAGCCTGAACTGCATAGCAATTATCGCATTGAGGTCTAAGCCACAAGGATTGCATCCAAATAGCTATAAATATACATCTTACGCTATAAATGTACATTAAATATTACTGTTCATCATATCTTAATATGTATTTATCGCTGTTATATCGACATGTTATATTTTATCGGAAAAAACTATATACAATGTAGCTGTAGACACAGTGATACTCAAACTATAATTAGACTCTTCTTCTTTTTCTGCAGTTGCTACACGACAATAAATGTAATCGTATTGTTATTATCGCTGAGCTTTTCACCGGCACGTATGCACACAGTTTGAGAATTACTGTAATGTAGTTGCATCGTAACAAAAAGAAAAGACCAAAAAAAAATGAGTAATCCACGAGCGTATTCAACAGAGAGTACGATTGACCCGATGTGTCAAGGCCTAGACATGTCGGGACGATGTACAACTGTTACATACGATTAAAACGATTTAAGGTGGTGGTAATGAATTGTATATCGTTCAGTGTATGCCATTAGATGTCATTCCATAATTCTGTCGCATCGAGGACGCACGATGAGATTTTCTCTACAGCCTCTCGCGGTTCACGGACACGCTCCCAATCGACGGTGGACCACGCGACGATGTAGCAACGTTCAAACTTCTCTTAATTTTTTAATGGGAACATTTAAAGTCTCTATTGACCCTGCAAAACGGACATCTTTGCCTCATATGTATACCCTCGTCTTTGTAAGCTGGTTGGTTGTCTGTACAGTATTAGTGTCCAAAATAACAAAAAAAAAAAAAAGAGAAAAACCTATAAAGTGCTGTATAATTTTTTCTCTCTGTTATTATTAATTTCAGATAGAATTGTATACGTCATACGCTCGAAAAAGCGTTGATTTCGAAAAGGGAAATGCATGAATAAGTGGAGAACTCTTTCAAGGACACGTACTAAATTTACAATGCGTATTGTAGTGACGATTCTGCTGATATACTTTACTCGATTACATAAGCATTTCGTTTTTCGCGCGATTATTGTTTCCATTAATTTCTCTGAATTTGCAGATTTTAATTGATGGAATATCTGAAGGATTATCGTGTAAAATATTAATAAACTATCGCGTGAAATATTAATAAACTAATTAAATTTCGATCAATAACCACATAACTTCCGTCGATTATTGACGATCCGCGTAAAAGCCCAACGACGCGGCGACATTCCGTTACGATATTCAAGTATTTATGCATATTGTTACTTTATAATTTACAGTTCAATTCAAGCTAATTTAAACTCTCTTTCTGCTACGATATTTCACACGATTGTTACAGATTATCGAATTAATTTTAACATGTTGAAATCACATACGATAAAATCTATTATATGTAATTTTCTTACTATTTTATGATCAAAATCAGTTTAATATAATTTTCTCTCTATCAATCTTCCATAATATTATGTTCAATCTTCAATATTATGTATCAATTTTGAAGACAGATATATTGATATAGTTATATGTTTAATTCTTATTTTTATCATAATTTAGCGTAGCATTTTATTATTATATCATTCTTTGATAATCAAGCAGTTTCATTTTAGCATTTTATAACGAGTCAGAAATCAATCTTATGCATCAGAAATTTGATTTTTGTAACAAAATATTTAAAAATTGAAAATCAATTATCAACTTGCCAAATATTTGCTAACGTTATATAATTATTTTTCAAGCACATAAAAACAGTTGAGTTTTAGAGGATTAAATTAATACAAGTTACAGATTATCATCAAGTACTACAGATCCCATCGAATTAAAAGTCCAAGTCAAGTTTTAGATGATTCGTAATTCGTGTTAGATAGAGAGAGAAAGAGGGGGATTGAATTCTATTTATAATTTTATGCCATGTAATGCCGGTAATTCGAGAAGCATTGTGAAGAAAATCATCGTATATATAAATCCAAAGTTCGCAAAATTACAAATAGAATTCAATGTTGAAATATAGATCGCCCGAAACCGGGCCTCGAATGCAAAACGACGATTCCAAAGTTCGCCGTGCACTCGTCACATATTGTTTACGCGTCACGTTATCAACGCTATGTACGCCATTGGTGGGGCGTTCATGCGCACTGCGCGCGGCGGCTGCGGTAGTGGGGATGATCAGCTGTACTTAAGCTCCCCTCTCCAAGTTGGCGCGACGCGCACTCGAGCGGCGATACGCGATGGCGTCGGTGTGTGCGCGCGTCCGTATACGCAACTCTGACGTAGTGTCGGCCGCGGCGCTAGCGCCACTCGATCAAGCGGCCGGAAGGCGATTCGATTTCGCGAACTGACCCGCGGCGGCGGCGACGAGCGGTTAGTACGTGTGCCATTCCGCGCCGAGAAATGGAAGCCGACGAGACGCGTTCGGCCTCCGATACGAGAGCGAGCACGTTGTCGACGTCGTCGCACGTAGTCATAGCGCGCGAGCCCGTCGCAGTGACAGCTGTGCACGTACGTAGCTTTTGAAGTTTTGTTATGACAAAGAGCGTACTGCCGGGCACGACCGGTCACCGACCAGCCGCGTATCCGGAGGGAAAGAGATCGTCGTCGTTGTTATCGTCATTGTCGTCGTTATCGCCGTCGTCGAGATCGTTGTCGTTGTCATCGTCAGCTTCACCCGTGTCGTTTTCATTGTAAACGTCGGGCGCGATAAAAGTGCATATTGGTTCTTGTGAGAAGAGGAAGAGTCGCCGGGGGCGACGACGAGGGATTCGTTCGAGGATTCGAAGGTCGTCGAGGAAGGAGCGACCCGCGAAGATGTGGTGCCTCGTCAGCCAAGCCAACTCCGTTATCCTTGAGGTGCAGGTCGACCCGAAGGCCATCGGCCAGGAGTGCCTCGAAAAGGTAAGGTATTGCGTTCTTGTTCTCGTTGACAACAGACGAATTGCTACCGCCGACGTAATGCAAATATGTGCGTAGCGCCGAACACAGCATTCGCAATTTTTTTCACATTCTTCCCCTTCGTTTCTTTAAAATCGATTTATCGAATTTAACGATAAACGCGAAATAATCGTTTTTCTATTCTTGTGCATGCCGCACAAGTGGTTTCCATGTTTACGATGTACAATATTCGCATTAGGTAAATCAAATTCGCCGCAGAACGCAAATAGAAAATGCTTATCTTACCATGCAAGTTACATATCAACAACAGTTACATATCTCAGCTGAGATATGTTTCGCATTAGCAGGCTCCAAATTCGCCCCAAGTTTGCCCCGAAATTATTCACGAGAAAATATTTGAGTTCGCACATTCGCTACTTCAATTGAAACCAATCATCCTATATTTGAGCGTTGATAAATTATATAATGATAATAACGTATCTTAATAAAAAATAAATTTTTAAAGTGTAATAAATAACGAATGATTCGTTTTAATATTTAACTATAGATCTAGATAAAAAGATCTAGATAAAAAGATCTAGATAAAAAGATCTAGATAAAAAGTGTTATTATATATAACTTTTATTTAATACAACTCGTTTTTTTTTCATCTAAGAAATAATTCTTATGTAATATATTTCGGGAGAGATAAAAATTTGAGAATGTAACGGGACGTTACATTAGTAATTCAGCGAGTTTGACCTTGTTTCTTTTTCGGAAAGAGGGAGAGTTGTATTGCTTCCTTTAATACCAAATTACGATTGAGCAAAATCCGTTGGTGAGAGCAGTGTATGAAGTTGAACTTGTTCCCCGTTCTTGTCGACTGAATGATTCATCGTGCAAGCTCTTCGGAGTACTTCCAGGCGTGATTCGGATCGGGACAATTGCAATTTTGTAGCTCAAGGATAATGCGTCTTTGTTTTGCGCAACAACCTTGAAGCGCGGCGAGAATCACGATTTCAGACGGAAACGTACGAATATACACGATACATAATGATAAAAATAACAATAATCTTTGTCTTTTGAAAGATCAAAACTGCTCGTCACAAGTCGAGTTGAGAATTGGAGATCGCAATTTTCGGTCTTCTATTTGTCGCCCTTAACAAGTGAAGTCCTTTCTGCGAATTCGCGCTCGAGTGAATCGACGCAGTTCGTTGCGCTGCGTTGCGTTGCGTTATGTTGTGTTCTGTGTGTTGCGTTCTGTGATGTTGTGTTGATTAGCGATCACAGTCCCCGATCTACGGAGGAAAGTTTCGCGCACCGGCAAAGTTTACCTTCAGACGCCGCGGGCGTTCTCGGTTTCGGTTCCAAGAAGCTTCTCTCGCTCTCCTCTCGCGATTTGTTGCCTTTTTTCGTCTTCTAATATACGAACGCGATCTCCCGGTAACATCGTATATTCGACTGTTTTACATCAATTTGAAAAGCTTCACGTGCGATTGTCGTTTTTTTTTTTTTTAATATAGAATAGTTTTTTTTATTTATCGAGGATGTTGTTAGTTTTCAGTTTAGGATTTTGTTGTTAGTTTAGGATTTTTGTTTCAGACCGGATTTAAAATTTTCACGAAAAATTCAGCATAAGCCTACGATTATTGTAATGATTTGGACATTGCCTTGTCACGTTCTTATCGGAAAAAATGCTCTCGTTCAAAGGTCGACTGCCGATATATCCATTCTTCTGTGTTTGTGAGATTCGCAACGATAAGCGATAAATTTGTTTAAAAGTCCTCCACTCTTGGTGATAGACGAGGAAAATAAACGTTACCTTATCTCGTGGAGCACGCTTTTAATTTGCGATATTGATTCGTACGAGTATAACATATGCCAGTATAATATATATATAATATTTTTCATATTCCAGAAATAAAAGCTTATCAATACGATTAAGCATTTATTTCTATTATTTCTATACGTATATTTAATGTCTATCTGTATTTATATATCTAGTTATATCTAACAAAGACTCATCGATATGTTATCGACATTCTAGCAAATGTTTGTTTTGTTATGAGAATATGAAAAATACAACCGTGATACACGGTTCGCGAGGAGCGTCTCGTTTTTACATGTTCAGATCCTTTAATGGGATAATGTTGTGTGTTTTCGCATTACACGAGGATTACCAATGTAGGTTGACCTAGGTCCTGGCTCTCACGTGCGCAACAGATGCCGCACAGAACAGGACACACGGTCGGCATGAGCTGAAATCTCGATTTCACAGAGTCCTTAGGCAGAGGACCTTCGCGTTTCGAGAAAGAGCTCGACGAAAACTTCGTTTTTTTGTACTCCGAGAAAAATCCCTCACGTTTTTTTGTACTCCGAGAAAAATCTACCGTTTTTTTTATCTTTCCACCACGAGATAAATCCGAGAAGCAGGCCATTGGCAAAGGACTTTACGTCTTTAAGTTTTCCCAACGCGAGAGTACGGGATATTAGGGAAGATGCAAATCTTCGTTAACGTAACGTCGTGTTTCGCATTGGATTTGTGTATATAGAGAAGTTTCAGATTTTATCTCGTGAGCGGAATTAGATAGCGTCAGCGCGCCCTTCGCTCGGAAACGTCGTATTTCTTCTAATAGAACTCTCATGGAAACGTTCCTTTCCTTCGTGAAATGCGTCTCGCCTGGCGGAAGATGCTCCCTATGTAACTCGTTTCTATTACACATTCCTTATGCTCCCGGGGTCGACTCGTTCACATTATCATTCCTATAAGTTGCGGCCGAGATTATGGCAGCGGGAAGGGAGAGGGATGGTAACGGGAGGGTATCGGAACGATCGTATTCAATTTATCTTCGACCCGAAGTCACCTCGCGACCATCTTCAGGATCTTTCCATGAGAATCGATTCTCATTTCTTTCTCCTTAAATGTGGTTCTATTTAAAAATGAAATATGTACAAGGATT